TGCCTAGTAGCTCTTCGATGGCGTGCATCCAGGAACAACTCACTACTGGCCTCTGGCTCACCCTCCCCTTGTCTCCTCCCCATTGGTCCAAGGCTCAGGTGCCTCCTGGTGGCCAACCAGCCTCTCTGCATCCTGCTCGGAGTCGGAACCCTGTCCAGGGTCCTCCACATCCTCCAGAGCCAACTCAGAGGGTCCCTTGCTGTCGGAGTCTGGGGGCAGCTCCAACGGCTCCTGCTGGGCCACAACAGAAACAGGTTTATCAGAAACCTTTTTGCAAACTCAAACTAGTTTTCTGCTCTAGTTACAAGCCCCTCTTTCCCTCATTTCTTTTGGCTCTTTGGCCTGCCACTATTATGTTTCCCCTTTTTATCCTTCAGCTGACGAGAGAGCTCCTTGTACAACCGAGCTGCTCACGTTTTTCTTCCTCTGTGGTATTTTGTTTGGGCCTTCGTTACTTTGTTTTCGGTTTCCCAAGCATCCCAAACTGTTTTCCCTTCAGGATTTCCATCTATGGAATCCTTTCTATTCTTTCTCTTAGTTTGTTGAAATCAGTTCTTAAAATCTAGAAGAGTAGCCTGACTTTGTTCAGTTACCCTTGCCCGCATCAAGGCAAACCCTAGTGTGGCATGGTCTCTCTCTCTCCCAAAGTTCCTACAACTTCCGGACATGCGTCTTCAGCTCTCTTGGGGCTATTGAGATCTCCCAAGAGTAGGATGAAAGGCCCCCTCAGGGCCCGTAGGGGCAGGGGGTTACCTCATAAACCCGATTGCGATACTCGGCCACTGAGAGCTGCACGTCATCAGCCAGAGGGAGGGTCACACTGTAGTCGAGAGCAGGCTCTTTGGCAGCACAGTGGAACCTACCGAGAGAAGGCCAGCTGAGCACAAGGCTGACCGAAGGAGGCTGAAATGGGCACAGAAACGACTTTGGCCATCTGAGAGGCCAGTTGGCCGTATCGAAGCTCCATGGAGTTCTCACCTTTGCACGTAGGGGTGCTGCAGCGCCTCCTCTGCTGTTAGCCGCTTCTCGGGGTTAAACACCAACAGCCGTTTCAGAAGGTCCAGGGCCTGGGCAGGGGTGGAGGCAGGCAAGAGCTCCTCCAGAGACAGCTGGGGCCTGGAGCCGAACAGAAAGCACGCTGCAGTTCCGCTCCACAGAGTGCTCCCAGCCAGCCTTACCCAGGGCACTTGCTGGCCTGAAAGAGGCTGCCTCCTCCTGGGGAAGTGTGATCCCCTCAGCAAAAGAAAACACTCACTGGCAGCTCACACGGTTGATAACTGAGGCTTGGTAGTCAGAATGGAAGGCCTCCACATCTGCAAAGCAAAGCAACAAATCGGGGCCCCTGAGCGAAGAGCCTAGCTTGGGCCCCAACTTCCGACAAAACAAAATGCCAGGCGCTCTTTTCCTCCCTGCTCTTTCGGGCAGGTCCCTGGGATAGATGAAGGAGGGGCCTCCGGCAGGAATTAGGCCAGGCACACTGCACTCTCCTGCCTCTACACGTCCTTCTCCTGGATGGATGGTAGCTGGCTTTCCCATCCTTGGAGCCTGGCTGCCTTCCCTTCCCACTTGCCCACTTACTAGCCAGGAGCAGACACTCCCTCCCTCAGCAGCCATCCAGCAGGCCACCCATCCGTCCACACCCCAGAAGACACAGCATCTCAGAGCAGTCTTCTTTGAACACTCCCGATGGCCAATTGAGCAGAGGGTCTCCATGGGATTCCCAGAGGTTTCTGTCCTTCTTTTCGAAGAAGATTCCCTCGGGGTCTCAGGGACCACCGAGGAGCGCCTTCTCAGCTTTTCCAGCAGGACTCGGGGACTGAGAGGTAAACTCTGATACCTCCTGCAGGGTGGAATGTTTTACAGAATTGTTGGTGGCTCTTCCAGACACAGATGAGTAAACATCACTGAAGCATGTAGCTTTTACCTTCTGCGCTGGGGGGAGGAATAACACGCAGGATCTGCTCTATTTGGTTGACGGTGGATGTTCCTGGGAACAGAGGTTTCCCCAAGAGCATCTCCCCCAAGATACAGCCGATGCTCCACATGTCCACCCCCTTGGTGTAACTGCAGGGAAGGAAGAAAAAAGGCAGCTGGGATCAAATCCCCCCCCCCCCAACCTGCAGAGAGGCCGCAGGCCCCTGGCCCTGAACATGGGAAGAGGGGCCAGCTTTGTCTTACTGCTGAACACTGTAACTGACACTGAACCATATTTAAGAGCTGTCAGTTATTGCAATGCCAAAAGAGGGGGAGGGGAGTAAACTACCGGCTGCCCTGCCAAAGGAAAAAAAAGAAAGAAGGTTCACGCACTGCCTGGGTCACGGAAAAGGAAACGTTGATCCAGGCAAGGGGGTTTCCTTGGAAATGAACCAGCAATAACAGGGGGGGGGGAGGGAAACCAATGGCTTCAGTTGTCTCCCTCAGAGCCTCTGACTCCCACAAGGCCTCACTCTTTAAAAACAACCCAAGATATTGGTGTCGCTTTACAGCTTGTATCTTTGCAACTCAAGGTGGTTTTTTTTTTAAGTCAGCGCAACCATTAAGAGGTGGCCAATTGGGTTTTAGCCAATTCTTATTTGAATTTATTGGCTCCTGAATTATCCTTTAATTATGGAAACACTCAAAAAATAAAGGAACCTCTAGCAGTTACAAGCCCAGAAGAGGCAGGAGCTTTGGAAGAAACACATTCACAGCACTGGAGAATAGGCCCATTTCTTTGAAGCTTTTTCAGATGCAATATGTGGATCCGCGAGCTCCTCTCTTAACTGGATATTTTGAACCAAGGTTGTTCCTGGTTCAAAATGGGGGGAACTGCTATTTGGTTCGCTGCTCTAATTTGTAAACTGTACCCTCAAATTGGCTCAAGGTTTGTACAAATTTCAAATGATCAATCCAGGAAGCCACAAACTCAGAATACAGGGAACAGTTCCCTTCTGTCATAATCTAGCAAGCATCTAGCTATGAAAACCTACGCATCCACAGCTTCACTCTGCAGCTCTAGCTTGTTTAATCCCGCTTAGTCCCTCAAAAAAGCTTGGAACATCTCTGGGAAGGGAAAGTAAAGCAGGAGAAAACCACTCTCCCTTCTTCTACAATTCACGTGGATTCCATTCCTTACCATTTTGATGCAAGCAGGATCTCAGGGGCTCGGTACCAGCGAGTAGCAACATACTCAGTAAGTGCAGGGTTGCCTTCATCTCTTTCAATTTGGCCCAGGGAACGAGCCAGTCCAAAATCACACAGCTTCACAAAGCACTCCCTGTCCAGCAAGATGTTGGAAGGCTGGAAGTGAAAGATGAAGAAAGGAAGGACTCATGCAGCCATCAAATCACCTGACCCACTGGCATCCCACTATGCCCAGTTCTACTCAGAGGAGGTAAAACAGGAATATTTTGGAATAGCGGTGATCAAAGATAAGAGTTTCTTCTCAAAAAACTTCCCAGTTAATAAAAGAAATGCATTTTAGGACCTCAATGCAGGATGGAGAACATGTTTTTGAGGGTAGGGTGGTACCTCGGAGGGAGGGGAGGGAAAGCCTAACCCCTTTCCCTTAAAATAATAATTCGTTTTCCAGTATAATCTTCTTTTATAAAGCCTGCTTTAAACCTTAACTGCCAAGTGAAAAGTGAATTTTCTGGAGACTGTGCATGCAAGATAAGGGTGCTTATGTTAGAGGGGAGATTATCTGCAGTCCACCTAATACAAGGTATGTTCTTCTCCATTGCTGGGGTACATTACCCCCCCCCCCAATACTCCCCTGGAGACCATTACCCAGGGGCCAAAGGTTTCCTTGTCCTTCTTGTATCAGGCTAGGATTTAGCCAAGAAACAGGCCATGAAACTGACCCCAAGACCTAGGACTGATTTCCCCCCCCCCATTCCGTTCAATTGTATCTGATGCTCGAGACCACCTGAACAAATCCCTGTTAATTTTCTTGGCAAGATTTTTCAGAAGTTGTTTACCATTGCTTCCTTCCTAGGGCTGAGAGTGGACGGGCCCAGCCCAAGGTCAGATGGCTTTCATGCCAAAGGCAGGACTAGAACTCACAGACTCCCAGTTTCTAGCCTGATGCCTTCACCATGACACAAATTAGCTAATTATTTTCTCTCCATTTAACTGACCTCATAGTTAAGCTATAAACTATACAACCCGGGAAAGGAAGTATAGAAATATAGTAAGTAAATTAAGTGCTTGGGAGAAGGTTGGACAAAGATAACTCAGGCCCCACTCAACTTATTTTCATTAATTTAAGACTATTCTATATAAATAGGAATAAATTAAAGGAGGTTGTGACACCTCCTCACCCCCAAAAGTCCCATTTCAGGGAATGTGGTGGAGAGGCCTGGGCTTCAGCTCCAGAAGATTCTGGAGGAAACAGATTATCTGGGCTCAATCAGGTTTCAAGCCAGGATTCAGTATAAAAGCCACTGTCACCACTCACCACTGTTAAACTATTCACTAAGGCTGCATTACTATTACTCTTAGTCTTCTCATTGTTCCTATCACCCATCTCCTCCCACCTATGACTGCAGGATTGTAACTTTTTGAGCTTCTATCCTTATGGTTTATATTGATATTGATTGCTTCCTGATTGCTTATTTGTACCCTGTGATTA